GACCACTTCCTGGAGAATGTAGCCAGCAACACATGAAACTGTGTCAGTGTACTACCCACCTCATTATACACATGTGCATGTGTGCATACATACACACTCACACATGCACATGCATGCATGTAAACAGTACCCAAGCAAGGCATGACTGGATACTTTTCAATAACTAGGCTATGGAATACACTTTGCTCTCATTTCATTCTGTGTCTTCCCATGCTGTATTGTTTTCTGACTTCCACTTCTTTTTCTTGGTTTTAAAGGTTTATGTGATTACTTGGGCACCTGAATGATCCAAGATAATTTTTTTAAAATATTATTGATGAGAAATTCATACACAATGTTTTGATCATGTTCATACCCCCTCCCTTCTCTCCACTTGAAATTACAATACCCACAACTTCATGTCCTCTATTATTTCTTGCCCTTTATTTATGAAAGTCCTATTGATTCTAATCAGAGTTTCCTAAGTGCTCTTGAGTGTGGGCCTCTCCCTTCGAGTCTGGTCAAGCTACCAGATGGCACTCCAGTAAAGAAAATGAATGCCCAGAACCCATAAAATGCCAATAAATCCTCAGCTAGGGCTGGAGCTTCTTGTCTACCTCCTCTATCAATTCTGGGCCCTTATCTGGCTTGGGTTTCCACAGGTCTGTGCATGTTGTCATAAGCACTGTGAGTTCATACACGCAACTGCCCTTTGGTGTCCAGACAACACTAATTCCTCACATTTATCTATTGCCTCTGGCTCACACAATCTTTCAACCCCCTCTCTGGAATGATCCTTCAGCCTTGAGAAGAGAGAGTATGATATAGGTATCGCATTTAAGAATGAGCACTTCACAGTCACTTATTCTCTGCACATTGACCATCTGTGGGTCTCTGTGTTAATTGTCAGATGCTGTAAGAAGAAACTTCCCTAGTGAGAGTTGAGAGAAACACTAGTCTATAGGTATAGTGACAAGTCATTATTAAAAATATTAAACTACTATTATGTCTGTGCAGGAAAATGATAGTAGTAGGTTTTCCCCCATGGTTTGCTACTTGTCTAGTCATGGGATCTTGACCCTGAAAGTGTCAGTTGTGGAGTCTATCTTGTGAAGCAGACATCAAATTCAAGTAGGGGGTGCTTGGTTACTCCCACAATATTCATGCCACTATTGCACCAGTTGAGGAGATTTTGCTAAGCCAGTTGTTATCATAGCTCACGGGATTCACAGCTGCCTAATGTGTATTTCTGCCCTCTTCAAAATAGCCAGGAAATGGAAACAGGCTACATATTCATCAACTGATGAATGGATAATGAAAGTATGGTACATTTACATAATGGAAAATTATTCTGCTGTTAAGAAAAATGAAGTTATGAAATTCACAGGCAAATGGATGGAACTGGAAACAATCATCTTGAGTGAGGTGACCCAGGCCCAGAAATGAAAAAGGAAAGCATCACATGTTCTGTCTCATAAGTGGATGCTAGTTTTGAATCCTTAGATAAGTGTGTTTGAAATGGAAAAACCTTAGAGATCAAGAAACTAAAATGATGGGCCTGGAGAGATGACTCAGCTCTTAAGTGCTCTGGTTGCTCTTGCAGAGGACCTGGGTTGGATTCCCAGCATCCACATGGTGGCTAACAACCATCCATAACTCCAGTTCAAGGGAATGCAAAGTTCTCTTCTGACCTCCGCAGACATTTCAGGATATGGGTGCACTTACATAAATGCAGGCAATACGTTCATATACATAAAAATAAAAAAAAAAAATATAGAAAAAAACCTAAAAAGAATCTATGAGGTTTGGTTCATGGGAGTGGAGTTATAATGCAGTGATACAAATGGAAAAAGGGAATAATGGATAAGACTGATTTAATGCAGTGAGTGTTGGGAGGGTAGGGAAAAAGAGGGAGTTACTGGAGGGATAACTAACAATAAAGACATTCGGAAAAAGTCATACGGAAACTTACTATAAAAGTGTCTTTCAATATATACATGTACAATATAAATAGATATTAAATGTAGTTACTCTCTCTATAACAGGAATTCATTGGCCCTAGTAGACAACATAGGATAGCAAATGACAAGTCCATTGCCAGGAGTGGGCTTCCTTTTTTGGAGTGGTTGATCAGGCAGATCTCATAGCTCCTCAGACAATACTGGCTATTGTCATTGCTCTTGGTTGCCCACTAGGACTTGAGGTTAAGACCCTACAGCTGAAGATACTACATACCTGAGTCACAGATCAAGCAAAGATAAACCAAGCTGGTACTGATCTTGAATCTATGTCTCTACTGGATAGTTTTCACAGTACTAGAGGGTGCTATGCATGTTATTTTCAGCACACTCTTGATATTTTAAGGTCACTTGATTAGTAGCTCAATTCCAGCTTTAAAATCTGTTTGTACTTATATGAGTTGCTGATTGACAGTCATCTTGAAGGAATACCTTTAGAAACTGGAATATCACAAATACCTGTATTTCTAACATAAGTAGTAATATTTAAGTCTAGAGATCACTGGAGACATATCCAGAAATAATTTACTCCAGATTTTTGCTTTAGCAGATTATATCTTCTTAGATTTCATACATTTCATTGTATACTCTATATAGTTATGAGCTAACTAACCAATGTTCTGTGCTTCCCAATAGGTTATTTAGTCCTTGAAATAAATCTGGAGTGTAAATGCTATGGTCTTACTTTGCAAAGAATATATTCTGCAAGGTTAACTTTCTTCCTTTTTTGCCACTACTAGAACTGTGTTTTGCCTTTATCTTGGCCTTTGTTTTTGATATTCATAAACAGGATTTCAATTGCTGTGATGAATAAAAATGGACTTTTTCTGGAATGAATTTTGTAATTGGGATCCAATTGCTGATTTTAAAGTATAGTCCCTTGGTAATTTTTTTTAGTTTCTAAACTTTTTATTTATTAATTTTATATTTATGAGTAAGTTCCCTGCATGTGTATGAGTGTGCTTGTATCATGAAATGCCCCAGAGAACAGAAGAGGGCATCACATCCCCTGGAACTGGAGTTACCATGTGGGGGCAGGGATTTGAGCCCTGGTCATCTGTAAGAACAGTCAGTGCTCCTAAATGCTCAGCCATCTCTCTAGGCCAATCCCTTGCTAATTTTAGATATAGCTAGAAATCTATATTTGGGCCTCAATGCCTTATTTTTAGCTACCATACAAGGCTTATCAGTTCTTTCATTCTCATCTTTAGTGGCCCAAGTAGAGATAGCCATCATTTTTACCCCTTATCTCCATGATACCTTGACTTGCAGTTCATCATTTCTTATCTTGTCGATTAAAGTAATTTCTTCATTGGTTTGCTTACTTGTGGGTTCTCATTTCTCCATATATCTCTCCAAAGATTATATCATGCAATGCGACCTTTAGCTTAAGTCTCCTGTTACTTCCAGAATGACATTTCAGCTCCGTATGACATTCAAAGGTTGCTAGCATATGGCCCAGATCTACCTCTCAACCTCATTTTCTGCTGTATTCTTCCATAAACGCTTTACTCCAGTCATACAGTACTTTCATTGTCTGAGTATATTCTAATTGGGTGAAACTATTTCTTCGTGTTTAATTGGAAATACGTTTAGACTACCTAGTGATATCTATGATTATTTAAGTCCTTGTCAAAAGCCTGAAGATGAACGTCATTGCAGCACAGCTGCTGTAGGTTAAATTCCAGGAATCCTGATTCATTCCACAAATATTTACTAGGTACAGTACCAAATACTACTCCTCGGGTTGGAAAGCAGGGCAGCCAAGACTCCTTCCCTCCTGTCACTGATAATAGAGTGCTGCAAAGATGTAAAAGGATGTGTAAGGTATTACATTGAAGGAAGATTAGTCACTCATTTATGTAAAAGCTGTCACTTGAAGAAGGGTAGATTCGAGACTGCAAAGATGGTCCAGTGGTTAAAAACACTGGCTGCTCTTATAGAAGACCTGGGTTCAGTTCCCAGCACCCACATGAAGGCCCACAAGTGTCCATAACTCCAGCTCCAGGGGATCTGACACATTCTTTCTGGCATCCATGGGCATTGCACAACATGGATGCATTTATATATATGCAGACAAAACACTCATAGACATCGAATAAAAATTAAAAAATCAAAACATTTTTAAAAGAAGGGTAGATTGGTGCAATTTATCGTGTGCTAAATGCATATATTAAAAAATCACAGTAAATCCTATCACTTGTGAAACTAATATATGTTAGTATCTGTAACAAAAAGAAGAAAATATTATTGAGAGTATAGTCTCCTAAAAACCTGTTATTATAGTACTAGCAGATAAAGTCGAGTTTGACAGACATTATTTTTCAGAGAGCCACCAATTAGCCCAGTAGACATGATTGAGCCTGTCTAGAAATTACTCTAAGGAACAGTTTAAAATTCTGTACATCATAAGAACACTGTAAACAAAAAAAAAGATTATAGACATTTCGGGAGGGAGGATGGGAGTTTATTTCACATAGCCCTTGTAGATAGGGCTTAAAAGATGGACAGGGATAATCAACAATCTTTCCCATTTTAGCATTCAGTTCATTACCAAATCCAAGTAGATAATTCTGACACCAGGACTTTGAATTTGTTTCTGCCTCTCTGTTAATCTTACCATTGCTGTGGCATGGGTCCCCTACCTCTCTTCGGAAGTACTACATTAGTCTTTGTCTCGTTTTCTACTCTAGCCCAGTATTCCTGTTACATTAAGGATTCTTCCTAAAGCATAGTCTGGTTAATATCTCCATCTCATTTAGAGCCTTCATTTGTTTCTCATTTCTCATACGAAAGATATTTCAGTCACAAAGTCAGTGGTTAAGAACTTGAACCCTAAATCTTACTTCTTGGCATGGGATTCTGGCTCCACTACTTAGCAGAAATATTCCAGAGTTTAAAGATGACTCTTTAACTGGCCTTCTTTCCACTTAATTAAGAGTTTTTGAGAGTTCCCCATGCAGCTAAATAATTTCAATACTTTCTTCATTTTTTTATGACTAGGCAGCTAAGGATCATAACTGGAGAATGGTTCTTTGAAGAAAAGGCAAAGCGTTTCAAGCAAGTCAATGTTCTGGGAACTGATGTTGTTCGACAATCCATCTTAAGAAGAATTCCAGGTACCTAATGTAATTATTTGGCTTCAAGAGTTAGGTTAACTAGCTTCTCTACATTATATAGCAAATAAACACAGTTTTGTTTTTTCTTGGTCTTTTAGGTCATTTCACCACTTGATAGCATGAAATTTAAAGTTGCAAATCATATAAATGAAGGCAGTAGAAAGAAAAAACTTCATACTGATTTTCGACATACCTGACATAACAGTTTTTTCAGAAGAGCCATGTAGCCTCACCACAGAAAGCTATTTTTCTAGATATACTTCCAATGTTTTACTAAGCATTTAAGAAAGTAACATAAAACAGGTGAATTAAATAATTCACATTGTGAAAGCGATTCTTGATTTTTTTAAGCAAGTTTTATTTCAGACTTAAAAATATTTGTATTGATTTGACAATTTCATGCAATGTATTTTGACCATATTCTGAACCCTTCCCCCTCTCCAGTCCTTCCTTGCTATCCTCTCACGTTCATTCTTCCATTATAATTTGTCTTTTGTTTCAAGGCCTATCAAGTCCAACCTGTGTTTTCCAAGTGCTCTTGGGTATGGGTGCTTGCCCTGGAGTCTGGTCAACCAACCAGTAAGGAAAACTATTCTGACTTTCTCAGCACCGATCAAATGGCAATAAATCTTCAGCTGTGACTGGGAATTCCTGCCTACCTTCCCCATCCATGCTGGGCCCCTGTCTAGCTTGGGTTTGCAATTGTCTTGTGCATGCTGTCATAAGTGCTGTGGGTTCATGTTTTTTTTTTTTTTTAATCTAATCCTTGCTTCACAACCAAGCCAGTGCTTGGTATATTGTGTCATGAAGTCTCATTATTATCTCAAAATGGGAGCACTGAGAAATGCTGAGGAGCATTTTTGTCTGTCATAATGACTACATTGAGTCATTGTCATTCATTTTTCAGGATTCAGACATGATCAGCTAACTGACTTAAAATGTGCAGGACAATTTCATTCAATGATGAATTTTATTGACCCCCAAATGCAAACAACATCGTGTTTGAGACTGCTTTTCAGTGTACTCAAACTGCAATCTAATTGGTTCAGCAGTGAATAAGACTTTTGTGTGAGCCATATTTCCCATGCAGAGTATATATTATAAAGTTGGAGTGGGCATATTTTGGTCTGTTCTTACAGTATCTTTTCTTTCATAAACAAGAAATCCTCCATTTTAAGTCTAGCTTGTAGAGCTGGGAAGCTTAGAACTGATTCCTGTGTCACTTCTGGGTGTGACACTCCAAGAAGGGCTTTTTCAGGTGGGTAGCATCAGGTCTCATGTCATAGAGAGATGAGTAGAGTAGAATGAGAATTACGTAGTCAGCAGTGGCCTCTTCTCAGCCTCAAACCACAGTGCCTTCCAGCATGGTACTGCCTCTCAAGGCATAAGATACATCCACAGGTGTCTGTGTTCCCAGGAAGTCTGGAATATCCTTTCTATAATGTCACGCTTTCATGTACTGTGGTGTACTTGTGACCCAGTTCCTGGGAGGTTGAGGAAGATAGATCATGAGTTCAAGAACATTCTGGGCTACATGGCATGTTCCAGGCCAGTCTCAGAAATATAGTGAGCCCTTGTCTCAAAACAAAACAGAAATAAAGAAAAGAAAACAGAAAAAAGAATCCCTATAATCTCTTCCTAGGACTTGATCTCTAAACATTTAGAAGCCTCATGAACTCAGGTTCTACTACCATAAAAATATCCATAGATGCATAGCCTGTTTTCCTTCACTACAATCTTCCTTTGAAAGCTTATCTTAGCAAACTTCCCACTAATGAGTCCTGGCTTTAGTTGTTAGTTAATTCCAGAACTTAACAAATTAAGAAGAAATGCTGTATAAAAAATGCCTTGGGATTGAAGTGTTATTACCAATTATTATAGGCTTTTCTTTGTCCTGTGATAATCTGGGAATATAAATGCAGATGAGAAATTTGCTCTCCTTTCTGCCTCTTTTGTATTTAAATTTGTTTTCTGTTTTTTTTCCAATGAGGGTCTGAAGAAATACAAAACCAAGAGCAAGTTGGCAAAGATGTAGAAAAGTCTGATTCTTCATCTTCTGGTGGGCAGAAAGCTAGTCATGATGCACCCAAGAGGAAGGGGTAAGCATTGCCTGTTCACTTGTGAAATAAAACACTACTTAGTTTTCCATGCCTGATGTCACATCAGTGGCCTAGAGGAGTGAGAGACTCAACCAAGATAACATTTTCTTATCATTCTCCTCAGGAAATACAATTTTACTTGCTTTGAAACAGATAAATAACAGCCCCTGGCTGAAAGAATCCTCATTTCAGTTTGTATATGTGTTGTCTCTCCAAATGGTTTCCTTCACCGTTGGGCCAGTCTGGGAGCCAGTCTTGTCTATGACCAGCTGGTGTCTGCCTTTGTTTTAGAATGCCAACATAAATGCTGCTGTATAAAATACCCAAATCAATGAATTTAGTTGAACTTAAAACATTACACTCCTTGTTTAAAATACAAACTGCCCTAAGGAAAAAATAAAACATTTGAGCACTTCAATTTAGTTCAGAAAGCAGATACATGTGTTGAGTAGCATAATGAGCAATGGGACACACACAGAGCAACGTGTACGAAGGCTCTAGGAACTGGCAGTAAGAGTAAGAGAACCCCACCCCACCCCAAAATGCAGAATGCGGAGCAAGAGTTCTAAGATGTGCCTGTCTCATCATGCTCTTCTCTAGGGGACATCGCATTGTCCTCTCTGACATGCTGACAATGGAATGCATCATCTGAAGTACAAGGGGGCATGAAATAGAAATGTCATTTCACTCCAACTCTCATGACTAACCCTTTCTTCATTAATTGGTAGAGAACAATGTGAAAAATGGTGTAGAATCTCTTAAGTTGCTATCCTGGGCATTTAATTCTCCCTATCCTATTATATCCATTTATTCTGCTTCAGAAGTCCCACAATATGGGAATTATGCCTGTGCATCTCTTATCACCTTGCACTCCGATACACACACTTAATGTTAAGCTGTCTTTACTGTTCCACCAGTGACTTCTTTGCTTCTGTGTTAAGGTATGTAGCATAGTACCTGATTCCTTAAAAAGAATCAATGTGTTCACTGAAAAAGCATTTCAAGGCCCACAAGTGCTTCTACGAGCTATTGTTTGCAGACTCCAGCCCAAGTATCACAGTAAGTCACGGAGCTAAGGAAGTATGGAGCTAGGAGACAATAACTGACAACATAATGAGTCACATGTATCCGGACTCATTAAAACCGTCATAGCACTGGGCTGAGCGCTGCTGGAATTCAGGACTGGCAGCTGCGTTTCTTTCTTTAAGGAATGTAACATCCAGTGAAAGAAGAAAGGTTAACACATGAAACTGCTAAGTTTAAAAGGATCATAGGAAAATATAAAGTGGCAATATGAGTTATTGAGAGCCTCTCTAAGCAAAGCAATATATTCATAAATGCCAAGAGGTGCCAAGAGGTATCACAGACAATACATGATACATGTTAAATGAATAACAAGATAATAAATGCTTTGGGGGTCCACAGGAGTCATCAAGAAAAACCTAAGGTCAGGCATCATGCTGGGTGCACTTTTAATCCCAGCACTCAGAAAGCAGAGACAGCTGGATCTCTTTGGGATCAAGGACAACCTGGAAAAAAAAAAAACAGATTGCAATTTACAAGTGGGACTTAAGAAGGAGCTTAACAGATGGGTGAGATTCAGGCCATCAAAAGGAAGAAGGTGTGAGTCCCAGCAAAGGACATATCTTAAGGAGAGGTGCAGAGGGGAGGACTTGCACAGTGGTTCTTGGAGCAGCAAAGACTGACTGACATTATATGTCACTCACAGCCCAAAGGTAATTTTCCAGCACAGTGAAGCTTCTGACACTTTGACAATGACATTCTTCCAGGATTCTTTAAAGCAGAAACAACATAACAGATTCAATTAAGATTATGCCAGTACCTTTGGAATATGGTTTTTCCACCTAGATCAGTATTGAATATAAAATAAATGAACTGGAGCTGGAGAGACGGTTCAGCAGTTAAGAGCACTGACTGCTCTTGCAGAGGACTCGGGTTCGAGTCCCAGCACCCACATGGAGGCTACGAACCGTCCTTAACTCCAGTTTCAGGGGAATCCTAAGCCCTCTTCTTACCTCCACAACATTGCATGACATGGGTGCAGTCACATACATGCAGGCAATACACTCATACACATAAAATAAAAATAATAAATAAAATGTTTAAAAAACTAAATGAACTGACCTCTGTCATCTTCAAAAACATACCTTTGTTCTTACGTTTTTTTTATTTTACTATTTTTATTTAATCTTTGAAAAATTTAAATATGCATAGAATGTGTTTTGATTTTATACACTCCATACTACCTCCCTCCAACTACCCCTGGTTGGGACACACCAACCTGTCTCCCGCTTCACTTCATGTTCTCCTATTTTTATTATTATGAATAGCTCCCTGAGTCTAATTAGTGCCAACCATATTTAAGTGTATTTTGGAAACAGCCATGTTTAGATACTCAATATCCTGGGTCAGGACTTGAACTTCAGTTCCTAAAAAGCTACTTAATTTCCAATTAACTAAATGAAATAGTAACGCAATCGTATTTCACCCAGTGAGTCCTTTCATTGTACAGATTTCATTACCACAGAGCGAAATGCCACGGAAGATATAAAGATGGATTCTCCTAAAAGAGTTTAGTCCTTCATTTCACAAGATTTGTTTGGGCTCTAGTGTGGGCCAGAGATCACTCTAGGCTCAGGGAATATGACAGTGAATTAAAGGGTAGTCACAGCCTTCACAGAGCTGAAGTCTAAGCTACTACATGTATCTGTCCCAAAGGACTATTCCCTTTCTTAGTAAGGTAATAGAAACTCCTATTCTCTGCCTCCTTGCAAACAATCCCAGTCCAGGATATGTTCTTCTCAGTTGGCACTGATGAATTTCTAAACTAAGAAGTCTTTTTCTTAGCAAGGGCAGAGATCTGGCTTACCAACAAGTAGTTTGTTTGCTGGGCCACTAGCACATTGTCTTCTATATGACACCTGACACTATACTGCAGAGGCAATGGGAACTCCCCAGGACACCCTTACCCTGTTCCTTTATTGAACAATCATTTATTATTGAAAATACTACAAATTGTTATTTTTATTTTTTACTTTTGGTACTGGAAATGAAATTCAAGGTCTTGTTTTTGGCAAGTATGCTCTGTACCACTGAGCTATACTCCCATCCAGAAATTGTATACTTGAAATGATCTTCTAAATTTTTTATGGATTTTTTTTAACTTTAAAAACATTTTATTTATTTATTTTATGTGTATGCGTGTATTGCCTGCATGTAGGTAAGTGCACCCATGTCGTGCAATACCTGCAGAGATCGGAAGAGGCTGTCAGAGCCCAGAACTGGAGTTACAGACAGTTGTTAGCTGCCATATGGGTGCTGGGATTCGAACCCGGGTCTTCTGCAAGAACAACAAGCTCTCTTAACCTCTGAGCCATCTCTCCAGCCCCAATCTTCTAATTTAAAAAAAACTTTTTTATTTACTATTTTTGTTTTATGTGTATTAGTGCACTGCCTGCATGTATGTAAGTGCAACTGTGTTGTGCAATGCCCACAGAGGTCAGAAAAGGGCATCAGATCCCCTGGAACTGGAGTTATGGACAGTTGTTAGCTTCCATATGGGTGCTGGGAACCGAACCCGGGTCCTCTGCAAGAACAGCCAGTGTTCTGAACCATTAAACCATCTCTCCAGCCTCCAGTCTTCTAAATTTTTATCTTAATTTTGAATTCACGTGTTTATTTTCAGGTTTATTCTTAGCAAGTTCAGATCAGCAACCAGGGGAGAAATCATCACTTCAAAACCTGCAAGCGGGAGAAGCTACAGCTTGGACTTAGACAGCCAAAATGTTCGGAGCTTAAAATCAGCCCTCTGCTCAGACTGGTAAGAAACATACAAATTGAACAAATGGGTCAGCCTGAGGATAAGGTTGATAACTTTCCACCCAAATGGGCCTTCTAAGTATCTGTAAATGATTGCCACTCGAGAGAACTCCTAACATAATAGAAAAGGGCAAGAGCACGCCTTTAGTCCCAGCACTAGGGAGGCAGAGGCAGGCAGCTCTCTGTGAGTTCAAGGCCAGCCTGGTCTACATAGTGAGTTCCAGGACAGATGGGGCTACAGGGAGAACCTGTTTCAAAAAAAGGCAAATAAACAAACAAATAAATAAATAAATAAATAAATAAATAAATAAGACAGTTTTCAGTTGAAATGGAAAATCAACAACAAAAAAGCCACTTATCCTTCCTCTGGATTTACAGCTGTAGGAATCATCTGTGTCACCTGCCTACTTGTGGGGATGCAACTTTGTGTTTAGGGAGTCAGAGCTCTATTTCAAATAGCAATGTATGGGTCAGATAATGTGCTCCTAGATTCTCTCATGGATTTCTGTTTAAACTTCTAAAACAGAAATCTCTCAGCTTCATATCCATTCCTTGCAAGTTTCAAAATATATTAATACTTTCATCAGGCAAATTGCCCCAGAGAATTTTCCATAATTCCATTTCTTTCTTGTTTCACTACCTTTAACTGATTTTGAGATGGGCCAAGTGAGAATCTCCTGTTCTCAGTGCTATTACTTGTCAGGAAAAGCAAAGAAGGGAGAGAGAGGATAGTCAAGAGCATAGTCCCTTCTAATTAGATTTTATTGTCTTTATTCTATTGGGTCATATGTCAGGGCTTGTTTTCATGATTAGTGTATTATCAAAGCAAAAGATGACAAAAACGTGATTTGCCTTCATGGTTTATTGATTTGTCCAAATGTTAACTCCATTTTGTTTTTGTTTGCTCGGGACTACAGTAATTCTGTCAGTATTTCTATTCTTTTCTGTTTAGATTCTGAAAGCATCATTTCATTTTTCTTAAAATCCTTTCTTTATATTGTGGTACTGAGGATACAGCCCAGGATTTCACACACTGTATCTAGGGTGTAAACAAAGCATTTCCATAGAGGGAATATTCTTTGCATACTGGAGTTTGTATTAATGGTGACTCTCTATTCCCATTTCATTTCTCCCTCTAGCATCCTTACAACTGTGACTTCATGCAAACGTCACAGAAAAATATAATAAAGAACAAATCATTTATTAGCCATTGTCAAAGGGTTATCACTTTATTCAGAATTTTCTAAAGTGTCAAGAACGCAGATAAATTTCCTATGTGATGAAAAAAGTAAACCATAGATATCTTTGTCTTTGAAATGGTTTTGTTTAACTTCCTTTACATACTGCTTCCGATATACAACTTTTTCTTCAAAATCTCAGTCATGGTGTCACATACCTCTAAACGCTAAGGCTGGAGGATTGTTGAGAGTTTCAGAACAGCCTGGGCTACATAATGAGTACAGGCCAGCTGGGGCTACATGATGAGACAATGCCTCCAAAATCAAAAGGAAAAAAGAAATGAAATCTCATTTTTGGTTTAATTTTTTCTCTTCCTGACTCTGAGAGGCTATTGTTTCTGTTTCTCCCTCATCCTCTTCAACATTCTGTGGTTGACACATTTTAGTTTACACTTCAGTCAGCCTTTAGGAGGACTAGTACATAAGAAGAGGGAAGGCTGAGTTCCTTATTTAAAGAAACAAAAGAAATTCCAAATCCATCAAACAAGATTACATCATGCTATTTTAAACCTTTTGTCTTGTAGTTGCTCAACAAGAATGAGGCATAGTTTCCCCAACATCAAGATGCTTGTACTATTATTCCAGGCTCTATCTGCCTGGGCTTTGTTATAAATGGGAAAAAGTCTGTAAATAGACTTTATCTTTAAAAAGCTTTAAAATTCATTCTTTGAGGATTTCATACATGCATACAGTGTATTTTGATCATCTTTACCTCCACTTCCTCCTTTAACTCCTCACAGATTCCCCACTCTGCATCCACAAAAATGTTATCTTTGAAATTGTGAATAACCTGAAATACTTTATAGGCAAACAGTATACTAGTCAGAGCAGCTTTGGAGTTAGCATGTCAGGAACAATGTTTTCCCATTAAGAAAGGGAAAGAAGATACTCAGGAGATCAGTAGAGCAAAATTTCTTTTCCAGGAACATGTATTTACCACAGCGATGACTCATTAATGGACTGCCGCAGCACTGTTCCATTATTCCAACTGATTCCTTAAGAAAATTGAAGTAGGAGAGGGGGCATCTTTTCTTAATTCTCATCATCTAAGGAAATTGTTAGATAACCATCTCTTTGGTCCATGACATGACCTATCTTAGCAATTATTTTCCTTTCTTCTCTACAATGCCTATTTCTTCATAGTTCATTGGTCTTTTCCTGGAGCAGCTGTGCTAAGGCAATCCCTTTTAAAACTTACTTTATATGTGAGTGGAAATGATGTTTTATCAGATGTCTAATTGATTTTATTTCTTTTCAGTAGTTTCAAGCCAAGGGAAATAGGAGTAGTTTAGGGACGGCTTTGAAGACTCTTAGGAGAGCATAACAAATGCCTACCACTTGTTGTTAGGGACTGGATCTATGAAATAAAGGACAATCTTTACAAGGTTGTAAACGTAAACTGTAGTTAAAAAACAGAATGCTCTTCAAGGCTGAAATACCAAATTCTCTCTAGATTCACTGAAGGGTTGTTGTGCTCTATCTGAAACAGACTCTCAGAGTCTGCAAATGATTTATTTTTTAATATTTTGTTTTTTTAATTTTATGTGTATGAGTGCATGTCTACATGTAGTAGGTACACCCCTGTCATGCAATACCCGCAGAGATCAGAAGAGAGCACCAGATGCCTTGGAAATGGAAATGCATATGGTCGTTAGCCACTGTGTGGGTGCTGGGAATTGAACCCTAGTCCTATACAAGAGCAGCCAGTGCTCTTAACTGCTGTGCTAGCCCCACAAATGATTTATTAACCTGCTGATTTTGGAAGAAATTAGTAAAAGAGTAGGAGAAACAGAACAGAGAAGAGGTGAAAGCTAGGCAATGGGGCTATCTCAGGTTAGGCCTGAGTATGAAGGCACAAGCCACAAGTGACTTGGGGGTATGACCTATGTCCCTAAGCATTGTCCAGTTGTCGAAGCTGGATCATTGTGCCCTGATCTCAGTCAGTCACTGACTATGCGTGCCCTCACAAAGAGTTTCTTGACTTAAGAAATAAAGATACAGATTGTCCATGTAAATGAGATAAACAACTATTTTAGTATAAGTATATTCCAGGCAATAGTTGAAAGATCCCAACTCTTAACAAATTTTATTGTTTGTATGTAGTTCAAATTTAACTGAGAATTCTGTATTTTATCTAAGATCTCTTCCATGTGAGTGAGAGGGAGACAAACTCCAAGGCCCATCACTGCAGTGCCATCGTTCAAATCTTAGAAAGCATGAAATGCAGATCATCACCAGAAAGGCTGTTAGAAACTATAGAGAGCTATGTAGCACTAGTAAGTCAGTAAGAGGGAAAACTGAGGTGGGAGAACATCATCATATGATGAAAGTACAACTTTGAGCCTGAAATTTGCTGTTTCATAGAAGTAAATGGAGGATGAAGCTGCATTTCTAAGTCACATTTGTATCAATGGAAGATAGGGCAAACATTTTAGCACAAGCCCTTGCCCACTGTCACATCCACCATGCTGTCCTTCTTCTTTCCACTCCTGTCCCCTGCCCCCCCACACGATTTATCCCATTACTTTTTTAAAAAACATATCACAGAACTTTCAGAAAGGGAGTAAGGCCCTGTTTGACAAAGATTTTCTTAATTTTTATTGGGGTTCAATTTTCATACAGTTATAATTTGATATGATTTATATCTCCTCCCTCATCTACAACTTCCCCCCACTGGCACTGGCACCCACCCAATTCAAGGTACTACACACTACACACACACACACACACACACACACACACACATATGTATGTATATACTGTGGCCTATAAAGTCTGACCTGTGTCTGCACATGTCCCTCAGTGTGGGTCTATCCACTGGAGTCTGGTCAACCTACCAAGAGTCTGTCCCTGTAAGACACTGTCTTTCCCACTCCCAGCACCCATCAGTTGCCAAAAGTTCCTTAGGCTGGGTTGGGATTGCTTGCCCACTTCTCTGTGTCTATTCTGTGATTTTGTGTGGTTTGGGCTTGCATTGGACATGTGCATGGTGTTGCCATTGCTGTGAATTCCTATGTGTAACTGACCAGCTGTCAGGAAGACTCTTTATCTTTGTGGTTATCCACCACCTCTGGCCCTTACAACCTTTCCTTCCCCTTTTCTGCAATGATCCCTGAGCCCTGAGGGGCAGAGGTTTGAAATAGTTTTCCTAATCGAGGATAAGCACTCTTCAGCTTCTTGTTCTCTACAAATTGAACCGTTGTAGGTGTGTTAACCACCATCTGCTGCATAACTAAATATTTTTAGTTACCATTTGTTGCAAAAAGAATCTTTCTTGATGAGTTGTGAGAGGTACATTTGCCTGTAAAAATAAGGATGTATAGGTACAATAAAGTACGAAATTACATTGGTCTAGGGATGTGACAAAAGTAGGTTTTTCTCTAGGATCTATAACCTCTCCAGTCATGTGTATTTTTCACTATGTTTACAATACCACACATAAGTTCTTTCCCATTGAAAGGGCCTTAATTCCAATTAGACAGCTGTTCATTACCCCAAGACAAAAGTGCCACTACTGCACCAATAGCAGTAGTATGCTGGCCACACATTGTTGTTTATTAGGCTTTCCAACAGGGTCGAGTCATTGATTGGTTTTTGTTCTTTGGCTGCTGGCACAGAATCCTCTGCTACCATGAGAGCTAGTCTTCGTGGAGGAGACTTCCAGGTCAGTCCTTACCTGATTGCTTCAAGTCCTGTATCTGAAGTATGACTTGTCTTTAGCAATAGAGTTTTACCTTCCAGTTCTGGGAGGCAATCAGGGGCT